ATTAGCATGGCATCTTAAAATATTGTGTTAAAATTTGGACAACAACATAGAAGTTTACAGTAGAATCTATTTACCCCTGTACCAGGGGAATTTATATTACAAAAAGGGGGAATTCCTCCGCCCGGCAGGTTTACAAAACAATCAGTGTCAAATCATAAGTTTTTATTTCCCCCTCCCCTTCTTTTAAGCTTCCAGCGCCCCCCCCTCTTACCTCTTTTATCACACTTCAACTTTCTTTCTCTTTGCCTCGTTTCTAATCTCTTTGCATCTCCTTCCACAATTTAACGAGTAGCTATTCTTTTGGTTTTCCCATATCTTCCCATTTTGTCCCTTTTCCTTCTCTTGTCCTTCATATCTTCCCATTTTGTCCTTTTTCCTTCTCTTGTCCTTCATATCTTCCCATTTTTACCCCTTCCCTGAGTATATTGTGTATATATAAAGGATATTAAGCTCGGTCTGGGCAGAATCTGGATAAAAACTGAAAACAAGGTTTTTAAAGCCAATAAATTTGATAAATAAAGACCAGAAGCGTGCAGCCTGCCTAATATTATATATACTCATCCTCTCTTATATAGAAATATATAATATTCTAGCTTAGGCACCCAGCTTTGCCTGGCAACTAAACTGTCTCTATAAAGGCCAACCCACTCGACTTTGAATTTTCAAACATTTCCAGGGTTTCTACCGAGTTACACAATCAATTTAAGGGAAATTGGTCAAGGGATTCCTGAGTTATGATCAAACATACAAACAAACAGAGATTACTTCTTTTTATATATAAATAGAAGAAGATATGTATTTTTTATATCTTATTATAAAGAGACATTAAGACAACAAGATTGAATAGTTTATGAAAAAAATATAAAATATTCCAATCATTAAAAATATTATTAGGATAATTAAAACTTCAAATAGTATTGATAAAATTATTTAAATAAGTTCAACTGCAACATATGGCCTCCAATCATAATTATTAGATTGATATTACAAATGTAAATCAAGGATTTAGGGGTTTACCATGTCTTTGGAAAAAGGAGGTTCAAGACTTCCGGTGTCCTGCTCCCCTTTCATTATGAAGGGTGTCCCTATGTGAAATAATGGTCTAATCCAACATGTTTACATTCAATACATTCGATACATTCAACCATAGATCTGCTAATTGATATAGACAAGGGATATCCTGCAGATAGATAGATAGATAGATAGATAGATATATAGGTAGATATATAGATAGATAGATAGATAGATAGATAGATAGATAGATAGATAGATAGATAGATAGATAGATAGATAGATAGATAGATAGATAGATAGATAGATAGATAGATAGATAGATAGATAGATAGATAGATAGATAGATAGATNCCCCCCCCCCATCATATTTCTTATGTCATCCACCCTTCTGAATTCCTTTTTCTTTTTTTTCATTTTCCATTTTTTCTTTTTGTAATTCTTTAATTTTTGTCGCTTTTTCCTTAAATGAAATCCTCTATTCCCCTGTAACCGTCGTTCATGTATTTCTGCATGATTACAAGCCGAGCACTGGATGAGCCAAGAATAACAATGAATAAAAGTCAGAAAGTTCATTTCTAACTTATTATCACTATCCTACACTTTACAATCCACAATCCACATCTATTATCACTATCCTACACTTTACAATCCACAATCCACATCTATTATCACTACTTTACAATCCACAATCAACATCTATTATCACTATTCTACTTTTTACAATCCACAATCCACATCTATTATCACTATCCTACACTTTACAAGCCACAATCCACATCTATTATCACTATCCTACACTTTACAAGCCACAATCCACATCTATGTTTGAAAAAAATGATATTTCTACTAATTAAACCTTAATCTTCCATTCAAAAGTTTTACAAATTTTTAAAAGCTTAACCTATTAATATTAATATGCAAATACTTAAAACCCCCCCCTGGCCCACCGTAGGGGAAAGATATAAAGGGTTAAGGTGAGGAGGGGTTGTGTTTATGAATAAGTTAAATATTTTGATTATAAATACAATTAACCTCTCGGGCCGGAGGACAGGATGTATGTCTCAGCATTCCAGCGGGGAAATCTACCAAAATATAGGAAATCTACCAAATATATTTTTAAAAGTAATTTAGTGATTTACTAATTACCTTACTGAATTTATAAGCTAAATATTTATGTAAATTTTATTTTTTTCTTGAGGTTGTTTTTTAGTAGATTCCCTTTTTGAGTTAAAAATTCATGTCGCATTTTCGAATAATTTATTTAGTCATAGTTTAACAATAATCTACAGACACTATTCTTTCAACAACATTTTTATACTTTCACTTCAGACAGAATTTTTGTTTTAACACTGAAATATTTTTCAGTTTTTTATAAATAAAATGGATAGATATATAGATAGATAGATAGATAGGTAGATAGAAAGACAGAAAGATAGATATCTATAAAAAGTTTTCACCTCTGCCCATAAGTCTCTGCTCTATGCATATTTGTATGATGCCGCTTATCATATCTCAAAGCCCAAGATTTCTATGTTTTTTTACTGTATATTCAATTGTATAAAAACAGTAGTCAGTAACTGTACTGCAACATAGGAGTACATAATTGTATGTACAATCTAAAAATGTGCCATAAAACAGTCTTGATAAAGTAAGCAAATTCAAATTCAACATTCAGCTCGGTTTATTCAAAAATTTACAGGTCGGCCTTATAAAGTCTCATTCTTTGTGGGTAACCCTGTAACATATCTGATAAATCTCTCTGTATCTTCTGATCCTTGCTCTCATCAGACCCGCTTTAGAATTAACCTGCACTTTCACTTTTGCATTTATAATTTGGTTAGTTAGGCATTCTTTCCAGGTGGTTAAATATACTGATAAATAATACGCCTGTGTTACTTTCTTTTCTTTCTAGTACTTTTCTTAACTTTAACTATTGATTGTTATAGAAAAAATAATTTTCTATAAATCAGACGAAATTCATTTTCTTTTTGAATTATATTACTTTTTAACAAAAGAAGGTTTTCTATATGCACATCTGTTCTCTTTTTTAATACAAAATTAGATAATTGTATTCTAGTTTATTATAGAATTATAATATTATTGCTTTTATACACGAATTTCAATTGTTTCAATGATTTGTTAACAGGGTAGTTATAGCCCGGCGTTGAAGAAGGAACGATTCTAAAATATTTAATAAACAAAAAAGTGAAGAATGAAAATTGTGTTTGATTCTCCTTATGTAAGTTTTGAAAGATTGTCTTAATCCTCAATAACATGATTGCAAAATATCCCACAGTTAAAATAGGAAGTAAGCCGGTTATTTACAGTTTTATATAAAGAGCAGAGTGTAGAGAACACGTCTATTTACAGTTTTATATAAAGAGCAGAGTGTAGAGAACACGTCTATTTACAGTTTTATATAAAGAGCAGAGTGTAGAGAACACGTCTATTTACAGTTTTATATAAAGAGCAGAGTGTAGAGAACACGTCTATTTACAGTTTTATATAAAGAGCAGAGTGTAGAGAACACGTCTATTTACAGTTTTATATAAAGAGCAGAGTGTAGAGAACACGTCTATTTACAGTTTTATATAAAGAGCAGAGTGTAGAGAACACGTCTATTTACAGTTTTATATAAAGAGCAGAGTGTAGAGAACACGTCTATTTACAGTTTTATATAAAGAGCAGAGTGTAGAGAACACGTCTATTTACAGTTTTATATAAAGAGCAGAGTGTAGAGAACACGTCTATTTACAGTTTTATATAAAGAGCAGAGTGTAGAGAACACGTCTATTTACAGTTTTATATAAAGAGCAGAGTGTAGAGAACACGTCTATTTACAGTTTTATATAAAGAGCAGAGTGTAGAGAACACGTCTATTTACAGTTTTATATAAAGAGCANAGGGATATTGGTGTAAGGGTTGGGACAGGAAGTGGGAGCATGTTTGCTCAAATATGTGATCAGGGTTCAGTTCTTGGGTTTATTTCTCCTCATTTTCTCCGTGTTTAGTCGAGATGATTTTAAAACTCAAGATTTGGACCTCTCTCTCTCAAGTTGTAAAGAAGCAGGGCTCAAATGATTTCTGTAAAATGATCCTTGTGCTTAAGTGTGGAAACCTTTGTTAAGCAAATCTTGGAATCTAATCCTCATTCTACCTTCTTCTTAGCTCACAGCTCATAATACATCTCTTGTTCATCCGTATCCTTGGATACTTTAATCCGTATCCTTGGATACTTTAATCTGTATCCTTGGATACTTTAATCTGTATCCTTGGATACTTTAATCCGTATCCTTGGATACTTTAATCCGCATCCTTGGATACTTTAATCTGTATCCTTGGATACTTTAATCTGTATCCTTGGATACTTTAATCTGTATCCTTGGATACTTTAATCTGTATCCTTGGATACTTAATCCGTATCCTTGGATACTTTAATCTGTATCCTTGAATTCTTTAATCTGTATCCTTGGATACTTTAATCTGTACCCTTGCATACTTTAATCTGTATCCATGGATATTTTAATCTGTATCCTTGGATACTTTAATCCATGAAGGTTTAATAAGACCCAGGACGCATCCTATAACAGGATACAATATAAGATGAGCCAACAGTCCATAACGGAAGGAAATAGTTTTACAAAATCTATATTTTAAATATTTAAACTTATATTTGTAAATAGTTAAATCTTGTCACTCTAAGAGTATTTTGTAAAAACCCGAAAACATTTATCTACAAGTTGATTTAAGGGGAAGTTTTAACAAGAGATGCGAAAGCATTTGGTGAAGAAGGAGGGGCTGGGTATATAAACAACTCATCAGGAAATTACTATCCAATGTTTGGAGAAAAAAAACTTTATGCAAATCTTTACAAAATCTATAAGAAAATGTTATGCCGAATTATTTCTTTTTGATATTGCCGACTCAAAAAGTTTGATTTAAAAATGGAATCAAAATTTTCGAAATGTAATTTTATAATTTTTTAGTCTCCTCGGAACGGAGAAGATATGATATCAGACCCTGGCAGTCCAAACGACAGCGGGCATGATAATTCACACAAACAGGTATTAATAGACACTTGGACACTTAGAATTCATTAGATAATAAACACTTGGACACTTAGACTTCATTAGATAATAAACACTTGGACACTTAGACTTTATTAGATAATAAACACTTGGACACTTAGACTTCATTAGATAATAAACACTTGGACGACTTCATCAGATAATAAACACTTAGACACTTAGACTTCATTAGATAATAAACACTTGGACACTTAGACTTTATTAGATAATAAACACTTGGACACTTAGACTTTATTAGATAATAAACACTTAGACTTTTGAAGATACTAGACACTTAGAATTTAATTTAAAGTGGACACTTGGACACTTGGACTTCATTAGATAATAAACACTTAAACTTTTGCAGATACTAGACACTTAGAATTTAATTTATAGTAGACACTTAGACACTTAGAGTTCATTAGATATTAAACACTTAGACTTTTGCAGATACTGGACACTTAGAATTTAATTTAAAGTAGTTACTTAGACATAAAGACTTTAGTAGAGAATAGACACTCAACTTCAGTAGAAAAAGACTTTCGTAAAAAATACGCACCTAGACTTTAGTAGAAATGGATAAAACAATTCCATAGTCAATAGTAGACACTTACTAACCGTTGGTAGATCATAACAGACAATCAGCTTTATATATAGACAGACATAAAATCCAACGCACAATTAGACAGAAGGAAAAGTACAGTTGACTGCATTTGCAACTAATTTAGATCATGACAAGTTGAAATTAAACCTATTACCGTTGTGTTTTAACTTTTCTTTTTTAGAATTATTTTTGCAATAGTATAAAACAAAGCTTAAAGAGACTGTTGGCTTAGTTTCAAGTGAACCTCCATTTTGTGGGTTTCAGGCATTCTTGTTTACAAGCAGAAATGATGAAGATACATGTTTTTTATCCTAAAATTGATAGTTCCTATTGCGGTTTATTAATGATTGTGACTTACGCAGTAGAGTCTTGGAATGAAATTAGCAGAATTTATCTCTTTCAAAACAAAACATGAGACTCTGTACATAAAGGTCTAAACAAAAGGGTATCGTTGTGAATTGTACATTTAATACTTCTAATGGAGGATCACTGAAAATTACATCCTGCAGTCCCTTTTAAAGACGAAAACAGAGACAAAAGTAAATTAAATCTGAATTTTAAGAATATCACTCAATACCTAAAATTTTATATATATATATACATATATATATATATATACATATATATATGTATCATATTCTGGATCAAGTAAAATGTTATCTATGTT